AGGGGAGCCCGCGGCCGGTGAGGGAGGGTGCCCGGTCCTGGCCTCGCCGAGGGGTCCCGGGGCTGCGTGAGGCAGCGAGCGGGGAAGGTAAACAGGAAAAGGGCTGAGCTGGTGGCCGGGGGTGACTCACAGGTGACTCCAGGAAACCGTGGGGCCTGTGCCAGCCTTGCCGGGCTGGCACCGCACGCCCTGCCTGCGGGGAGCGAGGGGCCATGGTGGGCGCGGAGTTTAGGGTCGGAGCCCCCCCATTGATGGGGCACAGGCTGGGCGGGGGGCACCGCTTGGAGTGGTCTTCCCTCCATCCGGCCTGTCCCTGTCCCTCCTCCCTGGTCCCCCGGGGCTGGGTGACTGCTCTGTCCCACCCTGAAGACGGCTGCGTCTTGGGGTGGGCGGGCAGTTCCTGGCCAGCTTCTGGGGTGTGCTGGGCTCTCTGGGGGGCCACTGGGCTCTCACGGGGACCACTGGGCTCTCCGGGGGGCTGGCACCCTGGCCACCCTACCCAAAGTTTTGCAGCTTGAGTCCCCCAGCCTGCCTGCCCGCGCCCGCCCGCACGGCGCTCGCCCAGAACGTAGGAAGGGAGGGATGGAGACCTCCCCAGCCCCCTGTCCCCCACCGTGGCCTCCCGAGTTTCCCCTGCAGGACTGGGATGTTTGAGGGTTCGTCAGCAGGCACCATGCACGTCCCTTGTGTTGTCCTTGACTGGGGGACCGGTGGTGAGCAGCTCAGTGCAGGCATCACCCCAGGGCTCTCACATAATTTGGGGCAACTGGGAGGAGGAGGAGGAAAGGGCGCATCTTTTCGGGTGCAAATGGGGAGCTTTGTTCCCCACCGCCCACATCCCCAGCACCTCCCAGTGCAGGTTGGGAGGCAGAGCACGCTGCCAAGCGTAGGGTCGGGATCCTGGGCGCCTGGGTTCCCCTCCCGGTGGTGCCACCGCCTGCCTGCGTGGCCTTGGGCGAGTCACCTCGCCTCCTCCCCTGTCACCGGGGCAGGTGCGTGTCCCCCTCCCATCCCCTCGTCGGTAACGAGGTCATTTTTATTTCTTAGGGCCGAGAATTACTGGTGGCGGGGTCAGAATAAGCGGACCCTAAAAGTGGGCCAGTTCCCCCGAAACACGGTGACC